AGCACTGTCTCAACCTTTTCGGGATTCACTGATACTTCATCTCTTGATATGATGTGCCCTAGGAAGGTGGTCTGCTCGAGGCAGAACCCACACTTACTCAACATTACATACAACTTCTTTTCTCTAAGAAGATACAAAACCTAAGTCAGATGGTGAGCGTGCTTTTCTCAACTTTTTGAATAGACTAGGATATCATTAATAAATATAATAACGAACTTATCCAAGAATTGTCTGAAAACCTTGTTCATCAAATCCATGAAGATGGTTGGTGCATTGGTTAGTTCAAATGGTATGATCAAGAATTCATAGTGTTTGTAGCTGGTCCGAAAAGTTGTTTTGTGAATGTCTTCTGCCTTGATCTTTACCTAATAGTAACCTGAACGCAAGTCTATTTTGGAGAAGACTTTAGTTTCCTACAACTGATCAAAAAGGTCATCAATCCTGGAGGGGTTACTTATTCTTGATCGTAACCCTGTTCAGTCATCTGTAGTCAATACATAACCGTAACATCCCATCTCTCCTTCCTTGCAATGGGACTCCAGCACTCCAAGGAGAAACACGGTGTCTAATGAACCCATTGTCCTGTAATTTCTTGATCTATTTCCTCAACTCTTCTATTTCTACATGGCTCATGCGGTAGAAAACTGAGATAGGCTGCATGTCAGGTGAAGGTCCTTTAGTAAACTCAACTTTCCTGTCCACTGGTGGTCCAATAAGTCATCAGGAAACACATCCGAAAAGTCTTAGACTACTGGGATCTCTTAAATACAAATTTCTTTCTTAAGTTTGTATATTGTAGAGAAAACAAAAATGCTATGTACTAAGGAACTTACTAGGGGAGAATAATATTCGAAACTTTTAGTAGCTTGTAAATGACTATTCGTTAGGAGACTTAAATACAATATTTCTCATAGAAATAATCCACGATGGCGTGATACGTCACTAACCAGTTCATTCTTAGAAATACATCAGAGTCTCCCTTGTAAATCTCTATCAGGTCCATCATGGGTGAAATCGAGTCCCGTGGAAGAGGGGCCAGATATTATTGGGGAGAGACCGAGTGGCCCTGTAACAGTGCCGAATAATACGATGGGGGCTCCGAATTGTATTGTGACGGTATCAGATGATACGACGAAAGAGCATGGTTGCATCGAGGTGACATTAAATCCTCTCGTTATAGGGGTGGCTCATAGTGTTGAAGTGGTAGAGGGTTAGATAGTTCCCTCCTCACTTCCTTGACCCATTGGGCAGGGATGAGTCTCTCTAAAATCTCGAAGAGCTTATCGACATTCTCTCGAAGTGACCCATCTCGGGCTACCCTATGTTCAATAATGGACCTCATCTCCTCATGTCTTCTACTTATTTTTCACAAGGAAGCGTAGGCGATAATTCATATTTATGTTTGTAAGTCTTTGTGTAAGGAATGATTCTGAGTAATGTGGCTCTGATACCAACTTTAACGGTCCGGAACTCGAAAGAAAATAAATTATAAATTGAATGCGGAAGCGAAATAATAGCGTTAGGGTTTACATTCCTTACACAATAATTCAGAATACTTAATATGGATACGAGAATGACTCTTTTAAAAGAACAACGAGAAAGTAAATAAATAATGAAAAATAAATAATTGAACATCTTATTCACAATCCTTTTGTGGATCGGGATCTGGATCTTGGTTTTCTTAATCTGAAATAGTTAATAACAGAGTGAGTTACACTAACCCAGCAAAAATATCACACTACTCACCGATACAGAAATGCAGGTTGGTAAAAATCATGAAAACAACTGATGGAGCTCTTAATTTAAGTAAATTCATTTATCATAAGTAAAATTATTTATTGTACACATACTGTAACGAAAATTTTAAAACTGATCTATAGAGACAATAACACAAATAATATCATAATCTCATATTCAATTATGTAAAACAACAACTTTTTCTTTTTATCTGTCTACTGGTATCCATAGAGATCCATAGAGATATCTCTACTACGCGTGAACCCTTATTCAATATTTTCAAGTAACCAGCCGTCCCCATACCCTATCCGGTATGAGCACTAAAATATCATCCCTCAATACCCCGTTCGGTATGAGGGTGAAACGGGTCGTCCTCATACCCCGTCCGGTATGAGTACTAAAATACCAATTCTCGATACCCCGTTCGGTATCAGGCAATGTTCATGGTAGGGTTTCTTATGCACCCGGTCCGTCCACCATCTCTCAGGATATCCAGTAAGGCTACCATTCATTCATTCACTTAAACAAACAATTTTTCGTTTATATTTAATTTCCAGTTTCATAATTTAACTGTAAATCACGCAGAACAAGCAATACATGCATCAAGAAAACACCATTGAATCCTCATACCAACTTCAGTCCAATATTATGCATTTGAAATAGTAAAATCAATCAAACAGAATCAACAGTAAATAATAACCGGTTCCGGCTCTATTAGTAACCTGTGATTAATTATCAAGATTTTTTAGATTGTATAAAATA